AGGTCTTTAATGTCTATTAACAAAACAAAAGGAGGCTCTTAAAGTCAGAGTTGTAAACACAAAAGGCTTGCGGTCAGCAGGAATGTAAACAAACTGGTCTCAGTCAGTCTTTGCTGGCAAAAGGAAAGCAAGTCTAAACAGAAGCAGGCAGCTTGGATTCAGCAGTAAAACTCAGTCTGTTTCAAAGGCAAACAAAACAGCAAACAGCAATCCGCATGAAGAGCGGTCCAACGAAGGTTCCAGGGATTAGCAGAGGCGTAGTCAGGCAGTCCGAGGGTCAAGGCAAGGAAGACTCACGAGTCTGGTTCCGGCAGGGTTGTTCACACGATCAGGAAACACGAAGCTGCAAACAAGAGCTCACGGCAGGAGTTAAACACAAGGCACACGGTAACACGACACTTTGAACTCTGCGATCAGTTTGTCCCCAAACTGCTCCTTAAATCTCGTCAGAGTCGCTGGAGTCACTTTCAGCTGCGTCTAATTCCACAGGTGAATCCCGGCTGCGCCATTGTTGCCAGTCAGTACTTCGGGCTCCATCCTGCAAAGTATTATCTGCAACCCAAGTATCATCAAAACCCTGGAATTCATCACTAGAGGTGGGAGCAGTAATCACATCCATTACTTCCTGAACTTTAGTCCAGTCCAGCTCTTCCTCTTCGCTGTCAAACTCCCCACAATCAGCTATATCTCTAAGGCGTTTAGCAACAGATCCCACATCGCTATTCGAGCTGCTGGCTACTCTCTTTACACCTCTGTAATCTTCCAGCTCCATTTCCTCGCGAGTAAAACCCTCAAAATCCTCCTCATCCGTAGTCTCTAAGAACAAGTCTCTAATCCGTTTCAGCTGTTGCTGAGCTTCTTCATCCTCTAAACCACGTTTCCTTCTACTACTAGTAGTAGGTGCATGAGACAAACGCTGAGTCTCAACAGTTTCAACACACAGATTTATTTATTTATTAAAACCAAAAAGCAAGCCTTGCTTTTGCTATTTTATATATGGCATATCATTTTACTATACCATTGTACATAATGGGACTTAAGCATGCAAGAATGTTGGTATCCACAGGAAATCCTGGAACCAAACACCAGTAGACACCAAGGACTACTATATTATGTGAACTGTAAGAAGAGTATTTGCAAACATGCACTAAACTGTTATGTTAATTTTCTAGAAACTATAACAAATAATAGAGTTTAGCATAGGCTGGGGGTTTGTTTGGATTTACTGGTAGATCTATATGTGATTTTAACTAGGGGGTTTCAGATTTCTTATTCTTAATAGAAGAAATGTGCTAGCATAATGGTCATTTCAGTTGACATGATTTTTTTCCATTTCAATTTATAGCCGCATCTCATCAGAGAAGATGAAAATGCAAACCCAACGTTTACATGAAATTGGAGGAAATATAGGTAAATGTTGGCTTCCACAGTAATAGACATGTCATCTTAAATAAACTTTACCTGTGCAATTAAATCTAGCTGCAACACATAACTAGTCAGACAGATTTCAGTAGGCAATCACTTCAGCAGAAGTGGGAATGTATAATAAGAGTGAACAGTTAAATAGCCTCCTCATCTAATGCTGTCAGGAATCTGGGGACTAGTTTGGGGCAGAGCTTGGTCAATTGCTTTTTTACATTATGGCTTCCTGACATAGCTACATCCCTGACAGGACATACAATTCTTCTAGTACAGTGTGGCAATGCATCACATTCTGTGTTCAGTATCCTGTTTTACATAGCATTCTGATGTCCATTGCCCAACAGACTCCATGGCACTTAGATGCCTAATGAGTAATAAGACCCATAGTGAAATGGCCTTAATGTTTATTTCATTTGTAAAATAGTCTCAGAGTTATCACTACATCTCTGCTCCAATTCCAAGAATGCAAGCATTACATAATGTTGCAATCAACATACTTCAGTTTATAGTGACACAAATGCCCAACAGCCATAGCAGAGCACCTGATGAACCAACCTGGACACAGCATATTATTTGAGAACATAGAAATGCTGGACCACTCTAACAACTACCATGTCAGCTTACATAGGGAAGCCATTGAAATCCACAAGTGTGTTGACAATTTCAATAGAAAGAAGAAAACCTTTCAACAAAGGACCCCCCAGCAGCAATCAGCCAGGCTTTGAAACTACAAGGCCATTCCATGCTTATCAAGGTTGCCAATTGTCGCAAGCAAATGAGTTCTTTCTCCCACCCGGGACATTCCACAGATACATAAACCTCACTTGCCTAGTGTCCAACAGACCTCACAATCTCTAATGGTATCTGCCAAAAATGTGGGTGAAACGTCAGGTGGAATGCTTCTGGAACATGGCCATACAGCCCAGAAAACCCACAACAACCCAGTGATTCCAGCCATGAAAGCCTTAGACAACTCAAATGCCCAACGGATTGGCTGCCAATATCTGCTTATCCTGAAGCTGATTTTCTTCCTCAACGAAGTCCTTATGCCCCCTCCCCCCCAAACACACACACACACCTGAAATGTGGTTTGGACATGTTTTGGTTACCCAAACAAGACTTAGTTCAGAAAGAAAAGAGCAGATTGGTAGGATTATTGTTACGTTATGGAGCTCTTTTTTTTCTCTCTCCCAAAAGGCCTCCCAAAACCTGAACATCAGCCTGAACTGGGATTTTTATTTATTTATTTATTTATTTATTTAGCATTCCTGACATAACTATTTATCAGTGGAGCATGAATAATAGATTCCAACCTCGCATTAAAAATGTTAGAAGTATAAAGATAACACTACCTAAAACTATTTTAATGCAATGTTTCTTTCAGGACAGCACTGTTTGGATCCCAATGCTTACATGTTGGATGTTTACCGTGCAAATCCACAAGCAGAATGGGTGATTAAACCAAAAATAAGTTGAAATCTGTAATGGCATTTTGACAGAGCACTTTGGAGAATGCCAAAGAATGGTTGAAAAGCTCCCTTTTTGTAAGCACATTGTTCGTGATGAAACCAAAGTAGTGACGAAACTCAGCAAATATCTTCTCAATGTGATTTGCAACCTGTGTCTTCCAAGTGTTTCATAGATTTTGAGAACTTTTACTTCAGTTAATGGTTTGCTATATTAATAATTTATTTTGTAATGACTACATTTTTAACACTGGTTTTACTGCTGCCACTTTTCAACGGATATGAAGGAATACAAACAGCTCTAGAACAAAAACTAGATCACCAGTACCACTGTCACCATCACGCCATGTACATTTATTTTTACTTAAGGTGAAATCCCAGGAGGATAAGGACAACTACCAGTAGGAAGGATTTTTGAAAGAAAAGAGACAGTACCATTTAATATGAAGGACGGTGCCAAAAACCATCCCTGGTCAAAGGACGTTTTATTGTCAAATACTTGTGACTCAGTTCAAGACAGCCAATAAGAGGGAAAAACTACTGTGTAAAGCATTTTTACTGTTATTGTACTGTGCATGTATATAAATATATAGGTATAAACAATTACATATCAGGGTCTTAATGGCATTTCTCTGGATTTATCCATGTCTAAATTAATATGTAGCAATTTTCACAAGTTAACGTGTGTATTTTATACAGTATATGAATGATTGAAAAGCCAGTGAGGTGTATTGGTTTGAATGTTGGACTATAACTCTGTAGACCAGGGTTCAAATGCCCACTTGGCCACGAAACCCATTGGGTTACCTTGGGCAAGTTACATTCTCTCAGCCTCAGAGAAAGGCAATGGTAAATATCTCAGAATGAATCTGATAATTAACCAGTTTGCCTTAGGTCAGTTTAGGTTAGAAATGACTTAAAGGCACACAAAAATGAATGAGAATTGATTCCAAATACAAACTACTTTGAAAGAACTGAAAGACAGAAGTCTAAGTACTTCATAAAATTTGCAAATTGTTTTTTTTAATGATGTTTCCCTCTATTATTATACATTCATAGCATGTGAAGTTTGTAATTTCTTGTTCGAATACATCATCCTTCCCCTTCTCAGACACTTTTTTTTTGCTTTTTCATTTAATGTGTGTGTGTGTGTGTGTGTGTGAGTGAGGAGTGACTTGAGAAACTGCAAGTTGCTTCTGGTGTGACGAAGGAGCTAATGTTGAAAATAATGACCTTGTTGGATTGTTGTTTTCATCGCATACAGACTTTGAACACGATCCCAAGCAGTTTAGATCCCTTTTTATTTCAATTGCAAAACCAAGTATCTTTCATATGATGTAAAAATGAAGGCATGACCAACACCGTGTAACCTATACTATGGTTACAGTTCGCCTTGGGTGACAAAAATATAAAATGCAGCGTCAAATGGGAAGTATTCACTGACCACTGTAATAGAAGAGTAAATGTACTGCATGTATTGAGTTCCAGTTTTCATATATTTTTATATCTGTAGTAACTATAGTGTGTGTGATTTTTGTTTTGTTTTTGTAACTATTCTGCTTCTAAGCAGAACCTTAAACACATTTTGATGGTTTTAAATATGGAATATGGATTACATGTTCAATTTAGGAGTGAAATAGAGGAAGAAGGAAGAAAAAGGCATTTGCAATTGATATGTATTTTTGAGCATATGACTTAGCAAGTGCATTATCACCAAGGGACTAGATAACCCATGTCAGACCAGACTGCATACAATACATATTTTATGTAAATCAATGTAACGTATGTCTGTAGATTGACATTTGATATAGGTGAGCTATTTACAATATTTAGAGGGATATAAAAAGTGGTAGTACACATTTTATAATCCATGATTTGCAAAATGGAATAATTGTCTTAATAACATATACATTTCAGAGAGGTACTGTCCAGTATCCAGTTATAATACTGTAACTCCTCAGTCAGTTGCTAAAGTCTTAAAGCTGCATATTCTGCTTTTCCCTGAAAGCTTTAGAAATTCTAAGCATCTATCAACTGACCATTCTGATAGCCCTTAATAAACTTTTTCTTGGGAAATCAGATTTCATCCACTACATCACTACAAGATGCTTCCCTTCCTTTGTTTCTGCATGTAAAATCTCAATTATGCAGGAAGTCTTAATGCAGAAAGTGAGAATCTAGCTATAGCCTGGACCCCCCAAATGGAAAAGGTCAGCTCAAGCTGGGGGAAGGAGTGACTAAGAAAATGTGTATGTGAGTATGAATCAGAAGTGTACTAGGTGATCAAGCACCAAGAAACCAATGGCAGTGGTTTATCTTTGAGCCCTCTTGGGAGTAATTGAAGCTACAGGCTGTCATTTGCACATTTACTTGGGAGCAAGTGGGCTGGAATACATTCAAGACACTTCTGAGTATTTATTATGTTTGTAAGAATCTTCATAAGGATGCCTGAATGATATTGGATGAAAAAAGCAGACAAAACCAATAGCACCTACCTGCCAATGCTGAGGTCCCTCCTTTAAAAACATCTCAGGGGAGCTTGCTCATAATGCAGCCTCAGCTTGACCTTTAAAAAATGAATCTACCCAGATTTGTCTATAATTATGAATTTGTTACACAATATGACAAGCAAACAGAGCAGGACAAAATGCCGCAATTCCTCTCACTTTATTGTTATTTTCCAGGTCTGCTTTGATGTATGCATGTTGCATTCTTATGTTTATTTATTTTTGTACTGAAACTCTTTTACCAACAGCTTTATAAACCAGTAATGGGCTCAGACTGTTATTATCTCACAATAGTAGCCCAGACTAGTAAAGATGGCTCTAAAACTGTTTTTTTTAAATGTATTCATCATTCAACAGTTATGACCTGTATTCTAAACCTCTGTGTCATTGTTTCCTTTATTCACATGACTGAAGTAGTCTTATATGACACCCTATGGGAAAATCTTCCCTGTTCCTCTTGCACCCAGAAGCAGGTACTACAACAGATAGGAAATTGATGGTTTTGTTCCTACATTGCACTGTATTAGAATTTCTGATATGGGAAGTTCTGGCAGGAGAGAGACAACATGAGGTGCCACAATTAAGAGTGTTGGATGAGGATTCCAGGTGACTAAGGATGGGTCTACACTGCCCTATATACCAGGTTCTAATCAGAGTATCTGCTTTGAACTGGATTATATGAGTATACACTGCCAGATGATCTGGCATAAGCAGAAAATCTGGAATCAGATCCTGGGATAGAGGGCAATGTAGATCCAGCCTTAATGTTTGAATCAGGCACTGAAGTCCCCTTGGGCAAGTCCTCTCTCAGCCTAAATAAACTCATGGGCAAACCTCCTCTGAATAAATCTTGCAAGAAAATTCTAGGATAAGAGTTGCTGTTAAGTTGAAGTTGACTTGAAGGCACATAACACAAACAATGATTTCATAGGTGCTGGAGGGACCATTTGTCCCATTGTTTGAAACTGCAAGAAATTTTGTGTCCTTGCTGCATAAAGGTAACTGGTGGTGATATTTAGGATTCTCCATTTTGTATATTTATACAAAGTGCATAAGCAAAATGCCTATTTAAAATTACAGAGTGATAATTGTTCAATCCAATGTCTTGTGCATCTTCCTTATGGTTAAAATCTGGAAACCTGACAAAATTAAGCAATGTGCTAGATGGGGGAAGGGGAGAGAGAAGCTCCTAGCCACAGATTGGCACATTTATTTTATTTTATTTATTTATGACATTTATGGCGATGGATATGGATTCAGTCTCTCTACTTCAAGGTCCGAGGCTGTTGAGCAGTTCGGCAGTTGTATCCATGACTGGGATTCGCTCTGCTCATCCCATACAGGAAGGGGGCTAGAAAAGGTGCCCTAAACATAGTCTACATCTCTCTTCTCTAGCTGGACTGCCACATCCATGTCACCACCATGGTTCAAAAAAGAAAAATAAATTTTGAAGCGTGGACACTGTTGGATTGAGCTCTGCAAGTGCAGCATTTTTTAAAATAAAGCAGAGTGTTTGAGGATCAGGACATTTGTAGGGATGCCAAGAGACTTGTTTATAAAGCTATTGTCCTCCTAACCCTGTTATACTGAGATTAAGGTTGTCGGGGGAGGCCTTGCTCTTTGTCCCGCTACCTGCACAGGTGCGTCTGGTGAGAACGAGGGACAGAGCATTTTCAGTGGTGGCCCCTCAGCTGTGGGACTCTCCCCCCAGTGATATTAGAGCAGCTCCCTTCCTCCTGGCCTTCAGAAGGAAAGTAAAAACCTGGCTCTGGGGTCAAGTCTTTGGGGATGAACTATAGCGCAAAAATAACTATGAAATATGTGCATTGATTTTCAAAATGGCCCCAAATTATGACTGTGAATTGCGTGATTTTAATTGTGATTATAATGTTTGTATGTTTTAATGTGCTTTTTTATCTCTAATTTTTAATTTAAATATATTTAATTGTTCTCTAAAGTCATCAAATAGTTGCCATTTGTAAAGCCACCTTGAGTCCCCTTCGGGGTAGAGGAAGGCGGGATATAAATAGAGTACATAAATAATAAATAAATAAATATTCTTGCCTACAAATGTCACTCTCAACTTCTGGCATGATTCCATCAGTGCTGCCTCCAAAAGAAATCCTGCAAATCTCTTGGGAAGACAAGCAGACAAATGCCAGCATTCTGGAAGAAACAAAGACCACCAGCACTGAAGTGATGATCCTCCACCATCAACTTAGCAGGACTGGCTATGTTGACTGAATGCCAGATTACTATCTCCCAACGCAGTTACTATACTCTCAACTCAAGAACAGACAGTTTAAAGATGGACTTAAAGCTGACCTCAAAAACTGTGGCATAGACACCGAGAGCTGGGAAGCCCTGGCCCTTGAGCGTATTAACTGGAGGTTAGCTGTTACCAATGGAAAGCAAAAAAGAGAAACATTTCAAGAGGAAGGTTCGTCAAACCAACCATTGTCAGGACAGCCTTCCATCTAGAAATTGATGTCCTCACTGTGAAAGAACAAGCAGATCCAGAATAGGTCTCTACAATCACCTAGGGACCCACCACGAAGACTCTACAGTTGGAAAGCAATCATACTCAGTCACAAGTAATAGCCTGTGGTGGTAGATAGTCTATGATGACACACACATTATGGAAGAATGCTTTTATTGTGTGGAGCCCTATTTTATTTTACATCTGTATTATAAAAAGAGCCACTTAAACCAAAAGAAATACTGTCAAGTAATCAGCAGAAAATACATTGTAAACATTGATTTACAAAAAAATCACCAGCAATTTAAAAAAAGCAGTACTGAGTTAATGTTATTAACCTTTTAGTAGAGGTATTTGTTGCACAAAGAGGTTTTAAAAATTACAAATGGTATAAAAGTTCTGGCTAAAAACATCATCCTGAGATGGAAAATATAGGTAGATCACTATACAGTTAAAACATTTCTTTTTCATTAACAGCATTCAAAACCTCTTGAGGTGGACCTTTTTCCTTGCCATTTAGTGCTCAGCCCCAGGGCAGGAATGTGGAAAGACTCCACGCAGGTCGAAGGCTTTGCTGAAGTCAAAAGATTCCACCTGTTGGCCCTTGATCAGGACGAGGTTTCTCAAACACCCTTGGAATGAGCTCTTACTGGTCAAACAATTTTGTTTTACATCAGCTAGAAAACAAGCAAGAGAACACAATGAGTTTGCTTACTGTCTGGAAGACATTAAAATGTGCACATTCAAAGCTGCCCTGATATATTGTAATAACACCTGCGTCACAGAGACAGTGACCAAACAGTTCTTGGGGGCTGTTTGACCACTAAAAGTCATGATGATGGTCAAAAGGTCTCTTGAGGGGTCTGCGAGTTATCATTTTGCTCCCAAGATCAAGCTGGCCGCAATTTAGTTTTGCGGAGGAGAGAAATAAAAGAGCATCAATAACACTCAAAAACTGCTCACATCACTGGATCCTGCTGTGTTTTGACATTCTTTCTATTCCAGGAAACAAACTACAGTGTTCCCTTGCTACTTCACGGTTCGCTTTTAGCGGACTTGCTGTTTTGCGGGTTTTTGAAAATATTAATTAAAAATATTAAATATTTATGTCCAGTGGAGGCCAGGG